ACTGTTGGTGGGAATGTAAACTGGTACAACCACTCTGGAAATCTATCTGGCGCTTTCTAAGACAATTAGGAATAGTGCTTCCTCAAGACCCAGCTATACCACTGCTAGGTATATACCCAAAGTTTGCTCAAGTACACAAAAGGGATATTTGCTCAACCATGTTTATAGCAGCTTTAGTTGTAATAGCCAGAACCTGGAAACAACCCAGATGTCCATCAACGGAGGAATGGGTACAGAAATTGTGGTATTTTTACACAATGGAATACTACTCAGCAATCAAAAAGGAGGAAATCATGACATTTGCAGGCAAATGGTGGGATCTAGGAAAGAGCATTCTGAGTGAAATATCCCAGAAGGAGAAAGACAAACACGGTATATATTCACTTATATAGACCTATAAGATATGATAAACATAATGAAATCTATACACCTAAAAAAGATAATCAAGAGAGTGAACATGGGGTAAGATGATCAATCCTCATTTAGAAAGACAGATGGGATGTGCATTGAACATATGACAGGAGTCTACTGAAGGCATCTGAAAGACTCTAACTTGCATGTTTTCAAAGCAGATACAAAGACTTATAACCACACCTTTGGCAGAGTATAGGGAATCATATGAAAGAAGGGGAGTTAGTATGATGGGGAAAGGATAGGAGCTCCACAAGGACCAAATATATCTGGGCACAGGGGTCTTTTCTGAGACTGACATTCAACCAAGGACCATGTATGGATATAACCTAGAACCTCTGCTCAGGTATAGCCCGTGGTAGCTCAGTAACCAATTGGTTTCCCATAGTAAGGGGAACAAGGACTATTTCTAACAGGAACTCAATGGCTGGGTCTTTGACCTCCCCACCCCCAAGGGAGGAGCAGTCCTGTTAGGCCACAGAGGAGGACTTTGCAGCCAGTCCTGAAGATACCTGATAAAATAGGATCAGATGAATGGGGAGGAGGTCCTCCCCAATCAGTGGACTTGGCAAGGGGCAGGGTGGAGATGAGGGAGTGAGGGTGGGAGTGGGAGGGAATGAGGGAGCGGGATACAGCTGGGATACAGAGTTAATAAAATGTGACTGATAAGAAAAAAATAAAATTATTAAAAAAAAAAAAAGAAAAATTAGTTTTCTCCAAGGAAGTCTTGCTGGAAAAACAATCCTCTCCTGATGCCCAGTAGTGGATGGTCTATACAAACTCAAGGCATCTTTGGAATTCTTTTTTGTCTTGTAATGTTAAATCAAAACATTTTTTTTCTATTTTATGCATCCTTAGCTTACATATTATGGCTTCTGATTTTGTGTTTTTATGGGTTTCTACCGTATGTAAATGTGTATGTCTCTGCAGTTCATCTTTAGTGTGTTTTATTCTGAACTGGTGATATAAAAAAAAAAAAAAAAGCAGCTCTTTATCACCCTATAAACAAAGTGCTTTGCATCTCATCTCCAGCCAGCAGGCCTCATAGAGACAGACAAACGCCAAAGCAGACAGTCATCCCAGAGCTGATTCCTGCCCCACTGATCCTAACCCTATTGAAACACTGAGTCTAGCTAGCGTCTGTCATTATCAACCCTGATCTCCTTCAGATACCACCAGGGCTGGACTGTTAATTCACAACAAGCAAGCCATTAGCAGTATTACCTGCAGAGCAAGCTGTTACTAACATGTATGTATAGGTCCTCTTCTACAGCATGAAATACAAAGTCACCTTCATTAAATGAAATATAAAAGTGTCCCTACCCCTTGTCAGAGTTAGCAGTCTGAGGATTAAAATGTGAAAAATTCATGGAAGAGAGAAGTGAAAAACAGATGAAAAATGGAGGAAAATACTAAGAAAACAATGATAGAATACGGAAAACAAAATGGATGAGAATAAAATTGGTCAAGTATGTAGTTTCAAAGTAATATGCATTGTTAGGAAAGAGCTAAAAGAAAATATATCCATTGAAAACTTCCCCAAGTATTGAAGATAAAAAAGACAAACAAACAACAAAAATAACAAGAAAAACATAAACAAAAAAATACTACTAACGAAGCAATGAAGCAGACAGAAACAGCCATACTTCAGACATAATATCTACGTTTTAAGCCTTATTGTCAAACATACTATATAGCTCTAAGTTACACAATTAATTTACATTCTCTATGTATCAATCTATAGAAATACATGAGCCAATATAAAACATTTGCTTTAAATGTACCAGACACCATTCAAAAAAATAAAATAAACAATATTGCTGGATACTTTTGTGAGAAGAAAAACACATTTTCAAATTTCTGAAAGCATATTGAAGTCAAAATTCTGCATCAAACACACATTTCAGTTCACTGAGTATGCAAAAAAGATATAACTTGTCATTAAAGAGTGAAAAATTCCACCAACTATGTATTCTGAATTATAATTTTACATAAAGGAAGTAGTGGATGCAAAACAGAATAATAAGAAAACAGAGAAACTATACAATATAAAAAGATTCAACGGAGCAATGTACACAGTTTAAATGTAGTGAGAGTGTATTTCCAGTGATAGTCACATGATACCGAGCTATATTGTCCAGCCAAACATGCAGAATAATATAATATTCACTGAATAATATTTACATAATTGGGTTCATAAAATTGCTCAGAGGGTAAAGGTGCTTGCCACCCAGCCTGGTGACTGAAAACCTGTCTTCAGCCCTTGAGACCTATATGATAGAGGAAAAGAACACACTCTTGCAAGTTGCCCTCTGATGCCCACAGCAAATTGTGCCATTAAGAAATACGTACAGTTCTAGGTGCAGTGGTGAACTCCTTTAATCCCAGTACATGGAGAGGCAGAGGCAGAAGCAGGCGATCTTTGTGAGTTCAAGGCCAGCCCAGTCTACAAAACAAGACCAGGACAGAAAAACCTGTGGGTGGGGGAGGGAACCTATGTACATATAAGGGCTGGAAAGATGACAAGAAGACTCAGTAATTGAAACTGTGTCCTGCTGTTATAGAGGACCCAAGTTGTGTTCCTAGAAAGTACAGAGTCTCACAGCAGTCCATAATGGCCTGTAATTCCAGCTCCAGGGGATCCAGTGCCTCTGGCCTCCTAGTACATTTGCACTCACATGCACAATCCCACACATGAACACACATACATAATTAAAAATAATCCTAAAAGCTATTTTCTGCTTTGTCATTTTTGAATCACTATGGAAACAAATCACAAGGATTGTCACAAAATCCTGCAAAGCATGATTAATCTTGATACATGTATATACATATATACATTAACATAAGTATAGATATATACATATAGTAAGCAAATAGGGAGGGTTGTTAATGGGTAACCAGAAGAAAACGAAGAGAGGGTGCTAAGTGCCTCCTCATTCACAAAGTAAAGACAATAGTTACTTAACTATAGACAATTTATTTAAAGACAATGTATCAGAAACAACTTCTGAAACCAAGTTGTTAAGCTGCCTTTCTGGGAAGGACTCCAGGTGCATCCTTAAACCCTACGAGGAACGGTGTCTTCTCTAGAAACAATCTACCCCATAACCAGATAAGAACTAGTAACTTATCACCACTTCACAACTCCCAGGGCAAAAACATCTTGATGACAGTGAAACAACTATAGCGGCAAATGTCTACACACAGACTGATGTATCCTACCCACCCTCTCCCCCAAAATGTCAGACTCGAACTTGACCAGCACTCCAGCAGTAATAACTAACACACAGCACATATAGGAATGTACACATACTAATGACCCAGCAAGAAGATGTCTTCAGGACGCTACCCAGGTGACTTGGGTCCTATAAATTATAATGCGATGGAAGAAATTCAAAAAGGCGAATCATCTGAACCCAGTATTGTCAGAATTATATTTGCATTATACTTGAAGACCTTTAATAATTAAGAGGAAGAAAATGGGGGCGACGAGAGGCCATGCAGGGAAGTAAAAGAAATCGCGGTTATTGGAACAAAATGTTAGAGCTGCTGATAGAAAGACCGAACTCCTATGGAGAAGATGTGACTCATCCACAGTGGGTCAAACTTTAATATGGTCGCCGTACCTCTGCCGCTTTGCCACACTGCCCTTGTGTACCTTCTGTTGGGTGTCACACCAGCCTTATTTAACCTGACAGTCTCTCTGGTAACTAGACTACCACAATGACAGATAAGACATGGAGTCTCCTATCTGCTTGGAAGGTACAGCCAACCTGCGAAGGAGCAGACCCTGAGTAACCCTCACCCATCAGCTTGCAAGAAGACAGGGAACACTAGTCCTCTTGCTGACCTCAAACAAACAGAATGCGCACTGGGGCTGGCTCAGCACTGGCAGACCCCTTAAGTGTGGGCAAATTTGTTATGCGGAAGCAGAAAACCAACACCTGTCTCTTACACATGAATACATTAAGTGTTAGATGACTAAAACAGGGAGACTGAGGCAGAAGGATTACTCCCACGTTCGGGGCCAGCCTGGGCTCCAAAGGAAGTACCCGGGTGCACAGAGAGACTCCCTCAAAAAAGAGAGCACGCTAGGGATTGGGAGCTGGGGAAGGGGAGATGGGTTGCTGAAGTAAAAAATAAATTGCCTTAGCCACTGAAACTTAAGGGAGCATAGAATTCATCCGGGTTCTTCCTCATATTCAGTTTCTAGGTTCACAAGTCTGGAGTAGGGCCCCCGCCTGATTCTGCACCTAGGAAAGACTGCTGATGTTAGTGCCCGGCCTGTAGCAGACATCAGACCATCAGACGTCCCTACTCATTGCTCCCTATCCCAGATCCCTCTTTAGGAAGAGCTCTCAAGAGCCTGAGCCAAAAGTCTTCTTTTTCCTTCCTGGCTCACAGGAGCGCCTTCCTTCCGCCCCTCTCCCACCCCCCCACCCCCCCCACCCCGTGTCAACAGCTCAGCGTAAGGTACTGTCCCCTCCCCTCCCCTCCCCTCAGCTCCAAGCCCTCTTTGGGGCACCACTGACTTTGACACGCCCTAAGATCCTCAGGCAGACCTAGGAGCATCCCCCTGGTCTCACCCGGAAGCCCAGACCAGGAGACAGGCCTTGCTGTGTGCGGAGATGCTGGACTGCGCTGCAGACCAAGAGGGGACCGCGCTGAATGGAGAGAGAGAGCTGACTCGCTCCTGATTGCCAGAGCTCGCTCCTCAGAGTGGAAGCTTCTAAGCCATGCAGGCTGACTTTTATGCCTGAAGAATAGTTTCGGTTTCCTTTCTGCTCCCAGAAGACTTAAGTTTCGCTTTCCATTCATCACCAGCTGAAGAGTCCGATTTGGGAAGTATAACATTCTTCTATAAAATCAGAACTTTAAGATAGGAAAACTAGAGGCTTTGGGATTCCTGAGGTAAGAAGGGAAATTGTGGCAGGGAGATCTGGGGACATCCAGGCAAGGCAACATTGGATAAAAGCAGAAGACAGGGTGTGTTTCCTGTTGCTCCCCACAGGTGTGCTAAAGACAACACAGCTGGGGCAGGAAAGAATTTGAGAAAGCACGAGTTTATTGTTATTGAAGCCTCCATTGATCCATTTGGGATCTTCTTTTGCCAATAAGCACCACTAAACAAAGCGCAAACTGTAGATTCCTGCAATTTGGGTTTGAAAGCTCACTTTCTTGGTAGCCCGTGCCTAGCTTTAGGAAGGCTTGTCTTACACAGATAGTCACTGCTGCTGTAAGCTTACAGGAGGAACAGCCACATCATGTCCAAAACACAGTGTTTTGCAGCACCCTTTCCCATTTGGGGTTCTTACATTCTTTCCACAATATTCCTTGAGCCTTGGAGGGGAAGATACAGATTTCTTTCACTTGAGACTGAGTACTTGGCTGTCAACTCATTTACTAGTTAGTCTCCGCATTAACCATCACCCACTGCAAATAGAAGCTCCTCTGACCAAAGCTGAGAGCAGCACAAAACAGCACAAATAGAGATATAAATACTTAGGAGCAAATTTGATATCATACCCATAGAGCAAAACAACAGAAGTCGATTCCCCTTTAGAGCCTGCAACTGCCCCCGCCATTGGCTTTGGACTAAGTTGACAGTGCCAGGCAGGAATTCCTCTCGTGGAATCAACCTGGAATCTTAAAATCTGGAAGAGGTTGGTTACCTCCCTAAAAGTCATGCCATTGTTGCAAATCTTGTCTAACATGTTTCTTTCTCAATCTTTTAGAATCCACTCCTGATGGCGCCTTGGTTTGAGCCCAGTAAAATTGACTTTCAGAACTGTCTAAGAATGAATTTGTCTAGTTCTGAGTCAGTATATAACAATTGATTACAGGGGCCAAAAATGAACAAATGAACAAACAAATAAACAAAATGTAATATAGTACTACAAGTTACTGTGGTGTGAAAAACATGGCATACTTTCTAGTAACAAAACTAACGGACTGTAACAATACAGTAGGTTATTCTTGTATTTATTATCATATGGTTACCACAATTTTACAAAGTGGGCACTTTCATGTTGCTTTCCAGATGCTGTAGATAAGGATTAAAGTGATATAAAGACAATAAGTTTCGAAACTTAATACAAAAGTCTGCTTACAGAATTTTTAATTACATGATCTCTGACAAATGCTTCTCATTCTAGAACCAAAATTTTTCCAGCTAATAGACCAGTTATTTTACTCTTATTTATTTTTGATTAAATTTGTGTGCTGTTGTTACCATTTTGGGTTTTCTTTATGGATGTTTTGGGGGTGGGCAAAGTGTGGTGTTCCGTTTTTTGTTTGTTTGATTGGATGTTTGGTTGGTTGGTTTTTGTTTTGTTTTGTTGGGGTTTTTGTTTGTTTGTTTTTTTACCTTTAGTGACTTCTGATTTTTCAGGTAAGGACTTAATAAACTGTGATACATCCTTCTCAATTTTCTAGTCTTAGTCTGCTGTGTGTTACTATAATAACATGCCATAGCCTGGGTGATTTAAAAGAAAAAAATGTATTTATCATAGTTTTAGAAGCTTCAAAATCCAGAGTGCCACCACTTGCTATCATCTGTAACAATGGTTCTCAACCTTCCTAATGCTGCTACCCTTTAATACAGTTCCTCTTGTTGTGATGACCCCACCCCAACCATAAAATTATTTTGTTTCTATTTCATGGCTGTAACTTTTCTGCTGTTATGAATCATAAGGTAAATATCTGATATGCAGGATATCTGATATACACCCCTGAGACAGGGTTGTTTGACCCACAAAGGGGTCATGGCCCACAGGTTAAAAACCACTGATCAGGATGAGGTGGAGACTCGACCCACAACCCACTAGTTGCTTCTGATCCATCTGTGAATGTCGAGACTTTATAAACTCAACAAACGCCTCCCATGGAGGACCCACATTCCCACTTGATTGCATTGATGAAAGTTTTATAACACATAATTCTAGGTGATGTATTTAAACCAAAGGATACCCTAACGTGTATAAACACCTCTCAAGAGCTGAGAACATTATTTTATGTTATGGTGTTTGGGGTTTCTGTTTGTTTTTCCCCACGTCTGCCATCTGCTCCTGTGCCACACCCTGCATGTTCCTCAGAGGTCTGATAAGCATGCATTCCATTACTACTTTACTCTATGCCTGCACTTTAGCCTCTCAGAGATTTTGAGGGTTTGCCTTGTCAGGGTGGACTATATAAGCTAACACTCGAACCTTCCTCTACTTAACATATTCAACCATTTGTGCCTTATGCTTTCCCTCTATACTTACCTACAGTTTGATACTATGAATAAGAATATCAAACCAGCTCACTGGTTTCAGTTTGGATGGTTGTCATAGCATTTGGTTGGACAGGGACCCCATTTAAGGTGAGATGATTTACAGATAATATCAGTAAAATTAGGTAAGATTTGCAAATATGGAATATAATATCTCCAAGTGTCAAACAACGAAACAGTGCTTGACTTTTCATGCTGTGGGTCCCAAGACAGAAAGTGGTTAGATCTTGAGAGTGCCAGAGATGAAACAGCTTTCACTTCAGTAAATAAATTTCAGGAATTTGACCAGTTTGGCAAGACCTTGCACATATTATGTGTTGTGTTGGCTAGTTCTATATCAACTTGACACAACCCAAAAAGAGGAAACTTAACTGAAAAAATGTCTCCATAAGATCCGGCTCCAGGCAAGTCTATAGGGCTTACCTATAGGACGTGTTCTTAGTTAGTGATAAATGGGGAAGAGTCCAGCCCATTGTGGGTGGTGCTACCCCTGAAATGGTGGTCCCATGTGCTATGAGAAATCAGGCTGAGCAAGCCATGAGGAGCAAGCCAGTAAGAGGCACTTCTCCATGGCCTCTGCATCAACTCCTGCCTCCATGTCCCTGCTCTGACTGCCTTTGATGCTAAATTATGATAAGGAAAAGTAAATGAAGTAAACCCTTTCCTCTCAAAATTCTTTAGACATGCTCTTTCATCACAGCAATATAAAGCAGAACTAAGACATATATGAGACATGGTCCCTTGCAAGTATATTTGTGGATAATTATGCGTTCTTTATGTGTGTTTCAAATTAAAGGATGAAAGTCATCAGCTCTACAAGAAGACCAACAGAGCCAACTAATCAGGACCCAGCGGGGCCTGCAGAGAATGAAGCACTAACCAAGGACCATGCCAGGACTGCACCTAGGCCTGCTACACAGATGTAACCAATGGGCAGCTCAGGCTTCATGTAGGTACCCTAGTAAGAACAGGGCTTGTCTCTGACATGGACTCTGTTGTCTGTGTTTTGATTGCTTCCCCTGTTGGTGCTGCCTCTCCAAGCCACAGTTGAAGAGGATGCACTCAGTCCTGATGTGATTTGATGTGCTGGGGTTGGTTGGTGGGGAGAGGGCTTACTTTTTCTGAGAAGTAATAGAGTGAAGAAGGGGGAGAGAGAAAGATGGAGGGAGGGTGAAACCGGGAGGAGATGGTAGAGGGGGCTATGGTCAGGATGTAAAGTGAATAAATAAAATAATTTTTTTAAAAAGAATGAAGTCATTGGTGCAATATCATGTGTGCTTACAGAGAAGATGGATACAGTAATTTTGCTGAGCATCTGTGTGTGATGACAGGTTGCTGAATGTCCATGTTAAAGGTGCTTTGTCTCTTCAAAGAAGGACATCCCACCCTGCTTGGCTCTGTAATCCTGACTAGAGATGGCAAGGGAATGAAGAAAGGACAGACACACAGAAACAGGTGCAGAAAGCAGCAGTCAGGTGGGCTATGTGCAGTCTGATACAGGAGACCAACTGTGCAGTAACACAGAACTCAGCCTCGTTATTAGGTACACTTCATACATTGTCATTGCTCTGTCTTGGTAGATTGGTAGGAGCTCTCTGCAGGTGAGCTGTCTCTGGCTGTAAAGAACCTGAAGAAAGAAACTGCAGTTGTAGATTTTGCACATACTAGTCAACTGTTTCTAAACACTACTCCTTCCACACATTGCCAGTATTGGCACTCAAACCAGAGGAAGGCTTTGGCATCCTTCTGTGCCTGACCAGGGTTCTTATGGGTCTCAGACAGTGATCTTTGATAAGACTCTACCAATGTGAACAAAATACATTCACTCGTGACTCTGTCTGCACTTTACATGTTTAATCAAGGCTTCCTTGGTTCACTCTACAAATAAGGCAAACTCAAACAGGGAGACTGTTGGACCAGGCAACAAACAGCATATGTCAGTCAAATCAATAATAACAAGTTTCCTATGGTTTTCGAAGGCCTTGTAGTTCAATTTCATGATGCTAGCTGGCAAGAAACCTGATTATACAGAACAAGTATTTTAAGAATATTGAGTATTTAGCATAAGAATTTAATATGGTCCATGGCATCAAAGTGGTGATAATATACTGTGTGGAGCGATTATTCTCTTCAAGTTTCAGGGCAAATTAAACTATTGGATATAGACATATACAATATATGTGGATATAGAGGATAACCACCTCTGATCTCATTAGGTCTATAACCACTGAAGAGTTTAATAACCTCCTACCACATTGTTTCACGTTTGCTTTTGTTTTCTCACTCTGAGCTGATTGTCATTTCAGGAGCTCTTCTTTGCATGTGCTGCTGTTAAAATAAATAATAATAATAATGTTAAATTCAGCACCTGTAACAAGTTTTTAGAAGGCCAAGATAGCTCTGTATGTGGTTCAAAGTAAGGCATGCCAACATGTGTTCTTCCAGAGAGACCCCATTCTAAACAAAATCTGTGTAGGTTTGAAGAGTATAATTATAACTTCAATATTCAACTTAAAATTCAGGAAAAAAG